TGTAAAACACCCAGAAATGTCACGGAAATTTACATGATCTACATTTTGTCCGGATACTTTTGGCAGGTGAGTGTATATTCTGATCACACTTCTTAGTGGATGCCCTTCTAGCTGTTTTCCTCTTTACCCCCAAGTGAGGTACATGTCCAAAAATTACTAAATAAAATTCATTAAATATTACCTCACTAAAAAATAAAAAATAATAAAAATAATAGACAAATATAAATAAAGCAAGAGAAAATTTATTATGCTTGAGATTAGTGTGAATTCATTGTTAGAGATAAATTTATTATTATTACAAAAATATAAATTTGAAGAATACAACAAGGTCAAGGACAAGGTTGAGGACAGTGCTATTTATTAAATTATTATGATTATTTATGGTGATGAAAATGATAGTGATGTTAGCTGATAGAAAAACCTTAGCTAGCTAAGCCAAACAACTCTTAGCCAGCTAAGAACTTAATAAACCCCAGTTGATGAAAAACCTTTTCAGATGGTACTAAGCTTGCCAGTATTATTACTACTACTACTATCATTACTATCATCACTATTTACTATTGTTATTATAATATCTCACCTCTAATGGTTCAAATTATTGGTTTTATTCAAATCAGATGTAGATTTTGAAGATGAAATTAATAAAATAGTTGAAGATAATAACAATGACAACAAATTAGTTAAATTAGTTAAGCAAATGAAATGAAACACAAAGAAAATTTCAATAATAATAATTTAATATTTATTTAATAAAATTATTTATATGGGGCGTGCTGCAACAAAACCAGACAGCATAGTGGAAATTCTATTTTTGCAATTGTCACATTTACATTTTAGTAGAAGATCTTCATGTTACATACATAATAAAATTTGTTTGAATATAACTTTAGATTAAAGAGTTTTTTATTTTTTTGCATGATGTACAAACATATGTATTCGAATTTATTTATTTAAATTTTGTCTTACATATCCTTTGATACATAATAGTAAAGCTTTATATTAATATAATACTTATTGAAGAAATAAAATATGCATATTTGTATATACAGCTATAATGAACACTAAGTAAATAACAAACTTCACTTTTTTATATAATAATAATTAATTTCTCCTTATAATCTTAATAAACACAAATAAAAAGTAGATAGATTCTTATTAATAGTTTCTTGCTTGCTACAGTTCACTCTCTCTATAATGAACCTTCCATAAAATAAACAAATGTTTAAATAATAAATTTTCAATAATACACTAAATAAAGTAAACATACATACATAGTCAAATAAAAGCCAATGTAAAGATCCATATCAATAAGAAAGTTCTGGAAGAATTAATGTTATATGCTCTATATGTAATTTGAACCTTTTATGCATTTTCATGGAGTGTGGTCCTAATACCTTCAAATATCACTAATATGCGTGTATCTTTTCCTACACTTTTATACATTTCTTTAATGAAAGAGTAAGGTATATGCAACATTTATTTTCTTTAAAAAAAGAGATATATATATATATTAATATGCTTTTCTTATAATTTTTTAAAAAAGATATATATGTATATTAATAATAAAAAATAGTGAAATAAACTAACTTTAATACGTAACAGTAATTTATTCTCTACAAAGGTTGTAATTTTGATCTTAAAGTTGGAACAAAAGAAAATAGATTGAAAAAGAAGGAGTGAATTAGTAAATGAATGGAAAACATTCTTAGCTTTTATATTCACATTTCATATATGTTGCTTGTTCTTATATATATCATATCATTCATATATTTTATAATAAATTTTATCTATATACCTTATATATTTATATTGAATTCCATTTATTTGACTAAAAATTATACAATTTTTTGCTTCATATGTAACCTTTAGATTGATTTGCATCCAAACATATCCCAAATCTTTAAATGAAAGTGCGTAAGGAAAAGATAATAATTGCATAATTTTTTTTAAAAATAGTTGTTTAATGAATGGTGTTACCCATAACAACACCTGACGTATTTTGAGTACTTTAAACAATTATGAATTTATGTCATACAACATAAATTAAATTTATCACAGTGATCATCAAATTGTGACATATAGAATTTCCACTATGCTATAGGATGTAGCAGGTCTATTTATATGTTTAATCTATTAGACTACTAGCACTTGACCATGAAGTAGCCTATTTTATGAAAATGTGATAGCATAAATTTGGAATGCATCACATTGATGTGTGGCGAATATGTGATAGTTTGTGTGACCAGACAACAAAAACTCACCGCCATCGCCATCCTGATTTATCATAATTCATATGTGGCCTGACAACAAAAAATTGCCACCACCGCCATCCTGATATATGATACTTCACATACAGTGTGTAAAAAAAAAACTGTAAATTTGTGAATGTAATAAAAATCCATCTAGGATAATTTGTTTGCAACGCGTAAAATGGAAAACAAACATGATGATCAAGCTTAGATTTGAGCATCATTACTAATCAAAATATATTTTGTACTTTTCGGAAAACATTGTTATGAAATGACTGGTTCGAAGTAAGAAAGATAACGCAAGGCCATATTACATTTGTGGAATGAGGGTGTGCGCAGTGGCTGTGAAATTCATGCACACACCAACATCCTCCTATCTACTATTTATGACGACATCAAAACATTAGATCACGCACGAATGGGGTAACGGCCACCCAAGGAAGATTAATGGAAACTCCTCGAAAGCACTTGGATAATACATCCAAAGGAATTTCTCAATTTCAACAAGAACATTGACCAAAAAATTGTCCCAAATTGGTGTTGAAGTATTTCACATGACTATATCAAGACATTTAACTGCTTATGGATACAAAAAAGCTCTCCCAATGGCAACACCAATGCTTACCAACGCTCATTAGCAAAAACGTGTTGAGTGGGCACAAAAACATCTTAATGACAATTGGAATCAGACCTTATTTTCGGATGAGACAACCTTCCAACTCTTCCGAAATACTGTAGAACGCTGATATAAGGGTGTACAGCCAATTTATTCCATACCAAAGGACCGTACAAAAATTTTTGCTTGGGGTGGATTTTGTTTGACGGGCAAAACAAGCTTATTTTGCTTTTGACAAATAATGGACGCTAATTTTTTTGATGAGATGTTCCAAAAGCATGTTCCAGAGATCAAACAGATGCTTGGAGATGATTGGAGGCTCCAACAAGACAACGATCGAAGCATACAAGTCGTCTTGCTAAAGAATTCCTTCAAGAGGATGTTTCGGAAGTCATGGATTGGTCATCAAACAGTCCTGACTTGAATCCAATCGAAAACCTTTGGGCGATTGTGAAGGGAAATGTAGAGAAACAGATGCCAAAAAATCTCAATGAATTGGAAAGGTTTATGGCAGAGGAATGGTGAGCTATCCCGGAAACTGTTATAATCAATCTTGTGGGATTGATGAAGCAACGTTGTGAGCTTACTATTGAACAAATGGAGAAGAAATCTCCTATTAATTAATATTAATAAAATCTGCTGGTGTTTAGCTTTCAAATAAAAAAATTTTCATGCAATTTGGTACAATCTTCCACACTGTATATATGAAAGTGATAATGATTCAGATGCAAAAACAGACTCAGCGAATTTAAACCAAGTGAGAGTGAAGCAGATGTTGAAGTAAGTTCCATTATCATTAATTATAGATAACATTTGGGAGAATTATAAATTAAAAAAAAATATAATAATTTTATAGAGTAGTGTTGGTTATGAAGAAGAGGAGGAAGCTATTAGTAGCAAATTAGAATCAGCAGATTCAGGGGAAGCAGAAAATACTCTTAATTATACATGCAGCCCAAAGTATTTTGACACTGTCATAAAGGGGGTTACACATGTAGTAAAGGGGTGTTACACTTAT